CAAATGGTATATATATATTTTTGTTATTTTGTTTTGTTTTGAGAGGTTTTTGCTATAGGGTGCATGTGCTCGCCAGAAAGATAGAGAGAGACAGAGAGACAGAAATCGAGAAATCACCCCCTGGGGGGGATGGCCATGCCGCAATCCCTTATCCTTCCATTCTCCTCTTGGGATCTTCGGCACGCATGCACACATGCCCGGCATGAATTTAAGCCACTGGGTCTGGGACGCGAACTGTGGTCGGTTACATGGGAGTCCAGCCACATAGCCATTACACTAACTGCTGGTCCCACAAATGGTATATGTTTTGTTACCAGGAAGTCATAGAGATCCCTAGGGCAGCACATTATAAATTGCCTTAACATCCAAATGACACTTAATCTCAGAGCTAATGGCATTGATATTCAGTTTACCAGAGGGAATACACTAAATAATTGCAGGGATTAATGAATAAAAATGTCATATATCAAATTCTGTGTGTCAGATTCTATTCTAAATTATCTAAATATAATAATTGATTTGAAATAATTCTAAGAACAATCCCATGAAGAAGAAATGATTATAACAATTCCTATTATACAGATGAGGAAACTGAAGATCAAGAAGGTTAAGTAACTAGTCCAAAGTCACACAGCTAATTAGTGGAAGAGTCAACATTCAAACTAAGGTACATTAGATTGGAAATGGACTGAGAACAAATGAGGCATCCATGATGGCTTCTAGATTTCTTTTTTTTAGAGATATGTTTGCTATATGGTGCATGTGCTCGCCAGAGAGAGACAGAGACAGAAAGCAAGAAATAGTTCCCCTGGAAGGGATGGACATGCTGCAATCCCTTTTCCTCCCTTCTCCTCTCAGGATTTTGGGTGTGTACACACACATGCCCAGAGTTAGTTTTAAGCTGCCGGGTCCAGGACTCGAACCATGGTCCACTACGTGGGTGTCCAGTGATGTAACCATTATGCCATCTGTTAGTCCCGGCTTCAAGATTTTTATTGAAGCAACTAAAGTAACAAAATTGTCATTAGTTGGTATAGGAGAGACTTAAGGAATTGATTTATTTTTTATTTCTTTTTATTTCAATTTCTTTTATACATTCAATCACATTACTTAGCTTAATATTCACAAAGTGAATATTCCAACATGTGTACATTTCTCACCAGTCCAGTTGACTATACTATAAAGTTATCCTCAATAGATTTCTTTGTCCCATATGCTTTAAGGGGGAACTCAGTTGGATATGTTATTTGAGATGCCTATTACATGTCCAGGGACATATCAAATAAGTCTAGACATGAAAATTGGAGTCTATCAGCATATGCATGGTATCTAAAGCCCAGAGACTAGATTCAGTTACCTCTAGAGCATAGATAGGAAACAAGGATTGGAGAACTGAGTCCTGTGCATTGTAGTGTTTGTAAGTCAAGGAAACAGAAAATCAGTGTGAGAGAGAAAACAGAAGGAGTGGTCTGAGGATTAGGAGGAAGCCCAAATGAGTGCGGTTTCCTGAAAGAAAATAAAATAGTTCAGGAAGAGAAAGTGATCAATTGTGTCACATGCTGCTGGTATGTTAAGTCAGATGAAGACTGAAAACGACCTTTGAGTCAAGCCATTTGGAAGGCACTGGTGACCCTAAGAAGGACAGTTTTGGTTGACAGGATGAGGATACCTTGTCAAAGTGGGTCTAAGAATTGGAGGGGAGGAACTGAAGCTAGTTACTTCAAAAAAACTTTTTTTAAAAAAAGGAAGTCGAGGGGCTGCCAGGTAGCATGGTTAAGGCACTGGACTGCTACATGACAGATAGCAGTTCAAGTCCTGGACCTGATAGCTTGCTTTTTCACTTTCCCTCTCTCTCTTTCTCTGTCTTTCCCTGGTAAAATTTAAATAATAATAATAATAATAAATAAAAATTTTAAAAAAGGAAGTTGAGAAATAGAGTAGCTTCAGGATAAAGTGCTTTTATCTTAAATTTTCATACAGAAGAAATAAAAGCATAGTTGTGGGCAATAGGGATGATCTTATATGGAGGACAAAATAATTATTGAACTATGAGGGTAGGGGTTTCTGGAACAATATTTGTAAGTAAATGAAAGGGGATGAACTCTAGCATCCAAGGAGAGAAGCTTAGATGTGTACATGCAGGTAAGAAGGCAGACAGCTGGTGGTGGGAGGTTGTTCACGTTCTCTTCTGATTATTACTTTTATATTGCATGCTTACCGAGCTTCTACTCTGAGCTCACAAGGTGAACACTCCTTCCATGTTTGACCATTGCTCTTCACTTTGATTTCAGTAAAATATGCATTATCTAGTAATTAAAGTTGCTTATAATAAGTGTCTATTTCTCCCAGCAACCTAAGATGTGGAGGAGGGCAAAGAAAACGGCACATTCTTTATTGTTCCTCAACACTTAGCACAGTATCTGGCAGAGTAGGCACTTAGCAAATATCTGATGAACTGAATCGAGTTTAATTTAATGAATATGTTTCTCTATACATGTGCTTTACTTCTTCGTTGTTGTTGTTGTTGCCAGAAGATGCATGTGCGAGAGAGAGAGAGAGAGAGAGAGAGAGAGAGAGAGAGAAACAGAGGGTGTTGACAAATCACTCCCAATGGGGTCATGGTCATGCTGCAATTCATTTTCCTCCATTTCTTCATCTCTTAGGGATTTGGGGCATGCATACGCATGCACCTAGTGTATTTTTTCAAGTTACCAGGGCTGCGATTCTAACTGCAATTGGTCATATGAAATCCAGTCCCATTAACCACTGGGTTAGCCATTTGCTTTAAATGCAGTTTTAAGAAAATGTGAATTATAAGAACCCGACAAGGTAATCTTACATGTGGGTTAGTGGGCAAATGATCTGTGTTTTATTCTAACTATTCTGTTTACCATTGCATAGCTACTTATTATTGAATTTAATATTTATGAAAACTCATGAGATATGCTGATTTGGGACCACAGTTAGGCTCAACAGCCACCATCAGAAAGGTTACAATATACGTAAGGATCCAAAAATCTCCTTTTATAATTGATGCAGTGCTCAGGTTTCCCAATGACCTTGTTTATTAAAGAAGAAAGCTAGTCTACTATGATGGACATTCTGTCATCAGAACCTATAGATGTTGGTAAGGATGCCTACTATTGGAATATCCTTAGAAAAACCACCTAAGGAAGAACAGATACATAACCCGTGGGCGTGTGCTGTGATGGATACCTCCGTAGCGCCATGTGATATTTTTTTAAAACTTAGAAAAAGAAGAAAAGGAATAATTTTCTCATGTCTATACTATTTTTTACTTATTATCTATATCTATATATCATTTATCATCTATCTATCTATCTATCTATCTATCTATCTATCTATCTATCATCTATCATCTATCTATCTATTTGGTCCCAAATAGGATTTTTAATTTGTCACTATTAAAAGTCTGAAATTTAAACAGATTCTTGGACTGGTGGTTCATATCCATCAGTTCATTCAACTTGAGCACCCATCTCATCCCAGTAGTTTTCCCAGAGCTATTATCTTCACCGTGAAGCTCCATGAATTTTCCCAATTCAAACTTGGACTTCCTCAGCATTTTATTTTTCTGATGAAGCCATCACGGAGAGCATAGATAGATTGACAAGGCTTTTCTACATCTTTTCCAATACTGTCTGGAATCGATGTATTGACCACTTCTTCCAAGTCATTTGTCTGTACCTCCTTGGTCATGATTTCCATCATCTTCTTCTGAATTTGGTGGACCTGCTAATGCTATGCATAAGAGATCTTTTGTATCTGATTATTGCATTTTTTAGAAAACCTAACATAGAAGAGATGAAGCAAATAACCATCAGTAGGTAGCCTTGACATCAACATGAGTTTCAATCATGATCTGCCAATTTTTTGATCATGGAACACATTTTTTCCCAGGTAAGATCCATGCCATGTAAGTTAATCAGGCAGTTTTTGCCCTGAATATCCTCAGTAAATAGCATAAATTTCCTAAATGCAAATTCATCATTCTGCAGATCTGCAAAGCTCACTTCAAACACATGGCACTTGAGGCCATCAGAGGCAATTTTGGTTCCTTGTGTCTTGGTGACCAGTGTCTTCCCAATATTTCTTATGTTGAACATAGCTGGTGCTTTCACCTCATACCAGTCTTTTCTAGAAAACAAATCAACCACTTTCATCTTGGCTCCCTTTTCGCTACCTTTCATAAGTACGTATTCTTGCCAACCGCCATGGTGCTATTCAGAGAGCCAAAAGGCTATTTACTTTTTTTATTATTATTCATTATAGAGTTTATGCACATGCATATGAGATTAAGAGAGAGAGAGAAAGAGAACAAGTGAGAACAGCATTCTCAGCAGAGTCTTATCCTGCTCATTATCTACTTTCCCCAACCCTCCAGTTCTTCAGGAGCTGGGCATGTGCACACACACCTGGTACGTTTTAGGTTAATGGGCTGAGGATCCAAATTTGCTGTTAGCCATGTGGCTTTGAGTACTGCAGTTGAGTATGTAGCCAGCTGTGTCACGAAGGCTGGGCCTCTCCTGTATATCTTTCTAGCAAGCTTCAAGTGACAACAAAATTAAGACCAAATGTAGTAGTTAGCTAGGCCACATAATATGGATAGAACTCTATCAATACTGTTTCAGCAAGAAATTCAGTACAGCATATTGTTAATGACATAGACTCTGGACTTGGGTCTGCCTCCACCTCAGTTGACTCATTTTCCTCATCTATAGAAATGCATGCTAACACTATCTACCTACCTCATGGAGTTGTTGTGAGATTTAAATGATTTAATACTTATAAGTCCCATACAGCATCCAGAACATCAGTAGTTTTAGCCATTATCATTTATTTTAATAAAAAAGTAATACATTTTTAAAATACAGACTACGTTCTACTTTTTTTTTTCTCTTTTATCTTGGTACATGTTTCCATTTGATCTCATACATTTTCTTTATCTCTAATCTTGCTCTTCTCTTTTCCCAACATAGAAAAATTGATGGGACCAATGTGGAAGAAGGGAACATTGAGCTGAATGAAGAAGGCAGGCCAGTGCAGACGTCCAGGCCGAGCCCCCCACTCTGTGACTGTCACTGCTGTGGCCTCCCCAAGCGTTACATTATTGCCATCATGAGTGGGCTGGGATTCTGCATTTCCTTTGGAATTCGGTGCAATCTTGGAGTTGCCATTGTGGAGATGGTTAACAACAGCACCGTATATGTTGATGGAAAACCCGAAATTCAGGTTGGTATCAATCTATGGTGGGAGCTGTTCTGACTGTAGTTGTGTAAACTCTTTGACACATGCAAGAAAGCACTGCAGTTCACTCACTGACATGACAGAAATGTAGGGTGGCCATAATATGCTGGGCACTGTGCAAAGTGATGGGGATAGAATGGTGAATAACATAGACTGGACCCCTGTCTTCACAGGGACAAATGATGACAATTGAGGATTGTAGGTGTGATGCTGGGAGGTGTACAGGATGCCTGGCTCATATGGAAGAGGACCTACCCCAGACTTTCACATTGTGAAATAATTTCCAAAGGACGTGATTGCTGACCAGATGAAGAAAGTTTTGTTGGGGTGGAATAAAGAATGTTTGAAGAAAAGAAACATCATGTATGAGGGACTCTAGGAAAAGGAGGAAGAGAGAGGGATAGAGAGGAGGGAGTACAAGTGAAAGCAAGGTTGAGAGAGAGAGAGAGAGCACATGGTATGTTTTCTATTTCTTTCCTTTTTTTTTATTTCAAGGTTTTTGCCATAGGGCACATGTGATCACTAGAGAGACAGAGAGAGACAGTGGGAGGGAAAGTGAGAAATCATCCCCTGGGGGGATGGCCATGCCACAGTCCTTTCTCTATTCTCCTCCCAGGATTTTGGACATGCACACACATGTGCCTGTTGTCATTTTCAAGCTGCTAGGTCTGGGACTCGAACTGCAATTGGCCATGAGGAAGTCTAGCACCTTAACCACCATACCACCTGTTGGCCCCCACATGGTGTGTTTTAAGAACTGAGACAGGAACGCTTCACCTTCCTTGTGCCATGGGCTCCTTTGGCAACCTGGTGGCAACTTAGGAATACTTTTTCAAAATATTGTTTTTTTTTTTTTCTGTTTGATTGGTTTTTAATTCATTCATTAATTTTTACTTTTAGAATTATTTATTTAACTTTATTTATTATTATTATTTTTAATTCACCAGAGAGATGGGGAGAGAGAGAAAATGAGAAATCAAGTCACCAGGTCCAGGACTTGAACTGCAGCTGACCATGTGGGAGTCCAGCATCATAACCACCATACCACCTGCTGGCCTCCAAAATAATGTTTTAAGTTCTTAAAATAAAATTCAAAGAATTATAAAGTAAGCCTATTATATTGGCATACAGCTATCAAGATATTTAAAAATGAAGTACGTGTGCATCTTAACATATAAGATGACAAACTCTAGCAATGGGTCTGAAAATTACTGGAATTTTAAATTTGAAATAGAAACAACTGAGATAGTGGCAAGACTGTAATATGATTTCCTCTAGTGACAGAGTCATGGGCACCGGTAATGCTTTGTGGCTCATTGCCTTCATTTATAATTGAAGAAAATGCCAAATTTCAGTTAACATTAGCGAAAATAAAGATGTCATTCTCCCCCTCCCCCCCATCTAAATGCACAGATCCACAGGTTTCCATTCACAGACTCCAGGATGAGAACTCCTGGGAGGAAGGCAGAACCGTAAGACATGGAGGCAGCAAAGTTAAAAGGGGCCGGATCATAAGAGGTCTGGTAAATCTTGTGGGAAGTTACAGATGGGCTTAAGCAGAGTCTCTGCTCCAGAATGATCACTGCCCCCTGGAGGCGAGATTGGCGTAGAGGCAAGCGATCCAGTCCAGAGGCTATTGTAATTATAAGCAAGCCTACTCTGATGTGACTCAAATTATATTGTCTTAGGAGTCACTGGAAACTTTAAATCTGATTTCCTTCTTAAATGGTAACCATAGAGAAGTATTAAGATTATAGAGGGAAAAAAAATGCATGCTTAATGGACTCCCAACAGCTACATGTTTCACTGAATTGAACACACACACTGGGATGACTCGTGTAGAAACTCGTTCATTTGCAGAGACCTCTAACAGTTCTCTGGTCCTGGCCCATATTTGGAGAAACGGTTAGATCAGAGTTCCCCAAACTGGTATATGGAAAGCCATTGCCCGACAGGCTGTGCTATGAAGGTGGTGTATAGCACAGAGGCTAGACTGGTGTGTCCCGCCGGCCTCCGCAGAGGGGCACATGCTATGAGGTATCTCCTGGACTGACTTGGTGGCAAAATACTCCTTCATTACACATCTGTTAGCATCTCTGGGAAGGATCTTCTGCCAAACACTGGTTTGGGAAAATTCTATTTCAATTCATTAAAAAGAAGTCTTTGGTTGGCTTGCAGGCTTTTTTTTTTTTTTTTTCTAAGAGATGATTCCGCCAGAGGAAAATAGCACCATGGAGACTCTTCTGGCTATTCTTTGATGCCACAACTGAATCTGTCCTGAAAGGATACTTATTTTTTCAGAGAGTGCAGTGGGAAGGGGGAGAATAGAAGTGGAGGGGCATATCATGTATTTAAAAATAAAGGATGATGTATACTAGCGAGGTTCCAGATGTGTATCACATGTATTCTTTCAGCCTTTTATGAGCAAGACCAGCTAATTAAAATGTGTCTGCGGAGGCCCAGATCAAAATGAGATGCTGTTTTGCATTTGTTTGTTGCCTGAAAAGATAGGCTAGCTAGGTCAATAGAGCCTGCTTGGAGGCATATAGAAAAGACACTTTGATAAACCCGAGGGACAATGCCAGTGAGGGCTCTCTAGATTGTACGATTTTGCCCTCTGCAGTTTTAGAGAAATTGATTAAGATCTGAAATATGCTTGCCTCATTTTCTCTGGCCTGAGGAGTAGTTTAGTAGCATTTCAGAAGCTCTCCAACAATCCCAATTTACAGCAGGGTCATTTCTTTCTTGTCTGAATAGAAAGAAACCTAGATATCAGCTGAGTGCTTAACCAGGTGACAAACAGTTCACTAATTATACTAAGAAAAGCTTCGAGTGACTGGTATTTTGTTTGTTTTTTGTTCTATGGGGAAAACCTAGGTATTCTGTACCAAGATATTTTAAAATACTCATTTTCAAAAAAGAGTGAGAAGTAAGCAGTATGAGTAGGCGGTTCTTTCAACGAGGTGGCATATGTTCTATAAGAGATGTGAAGGGAGATTTTATCTAATGTGTGAATAGTCTTAATTAATTAATTTTTTTTAGAGAGAGATTTTTGCTATCGGGTGTGTGTGCTCGCTGGAGAGATAGAGAGAGAAAAAGTGAGAAGTCATCCCCTAGGAGGATGGTCATGCTGCAATCCCTTCTCTTTCATTCTCCTTTTGAGATTTTGGGCACACATGCACACACGCCTGGTGTGGGTTTCAAGCTGCTGGGTTCAGGACTTGAACCACAGTCTGCCATGTGAGAGTCCAGCACCTTAACCACTATGTCACCTGCTAACCCTGTAAATAGTCATTTTTTAGTTTAATAGTAATGAATTAAAACATTTAAGATGCTTAGAACAAAGTCTGGTATATGGTAAGCCAGAAAAAGAAAAAAATAAAACCAAAAAACCAACAACTGAAGTTTGAGAAATCTTGCAATCATTTCTCATTACCCTCAGGAAAAGCCCATAGGTGCATGCATACAAACAGGAAGAGAGACAGGAGGAAGCTGATTGGCTGAGTCTAGCCCATGGCTTGCTTCTGCGATCAGATGTCTGTCACCTGTACTGGGCAAAAGGAGGGAATTCCATTGTGGGGGAAGTGGACTTCTCTTAGAAGGAAATAGCAGTGGGGAGACAGGAACCGGCATTTCCAGTAGTTCCTGATTGTGAAGTGAGAATAAAAAGACTAGTTTGCAGCTCAAGTGAGATAACGTACATTAAGTACCTGATTTAGTTTTCTAAGATTGCTGTGACAAATGACTGTGACCCTAACAGCTTTTAAAAAACCCAGAAATTTCTTTAACAATCGTGGCAAGCAGAAACCTGATATTTATTGAGTTTATGCCATTTTTCAGGTATGATAGTATCTAATCTGTTCCATGCAAAAGCTCTGAGCACAGGGATAGCCTACTAGAAATATTCCTACTGTTTATCTGTATACCTCCTATGCATAGGTAGAATGGATTTCATTATCCTCATTTAGAAATGAGAGACTTAAGTTCTGATTCTCTCGGTGTGCTCATAACTGGTATCTGAATAACCTGTCATAGTAAATAATCTAGTAACCCTAGAAAATGTTTGTTTTCTCCTTAAGCTGTTTCATTTTCTCCTGTGCACATATCATTATTTGGTGTATCAATATGTACATTTGCATATAGCTTTCCTTTCTCTCATTAGAAGAGGAGATTGGTGAGAGCGGGAGCTTGGTTTGTTCTCTGCTATTTTCCAAGTACGCAAGATGCTCTCCAGAAATAGTTGTTGAATAAAGGGAGGAAAGAAGGACCTCGAGGGGTTATTATGTAGGATCAGCAGTGGAAAATGGTGGTCAGTTATTTTCTTACACAGTCCTATCTGATTTTTCATTTCCAGACAGCACAATTTGACTGGGATCCAGAAACAGTGGGCCTTATCCATGGATCTTTTTTCTGGGGTTATATTGTGACACAAATTCCAGGTGGTTTCATTTCAAACAAGTTTGCTGCTAATAGGTAAGATAACTGATATGACCTAAGGACCGCACAAGTTACAACGTATCTTCGTATCTTTATAAAACTGTATAATTGGCTCTCAATTTGGGGGTGCGGAATGAAAAACGAACTGCTCCAGTAGAGACAACTTGCAGGTACTGGTCCCCAATGATCTTGTTCTTTCTAGTCTTTTTTTAAAATTTACTTTTTTATCCAGTCTAACTTACTTGCAAATCTTTAGTGATTACGTAGTCTAATGAGCAATTTACTCTGGGTCAGGAAAAATGGTTTCTGATCCCTAACTGGCTCATTAGGTGACATCTACTGAGTCACTTTGCTCCCTTTCTGGGGCTCAGTTTCTTCACCTGTGAAAAAGAAACATTGTACTTCTATTTCACTTCCCCTTGATCAGTGATATTCCATCATCTACCTCTATCTCTATCATCTATCTATCATCTATCATCTATGTATCTATCTATCTATCATCTACCTATCACTATCTATCTATCTATCTATCTATCTATCTATCTATCCAGCTATATCACTCATCTGTCTATCTATCTATCCAGCTATAGGGCATGTATGCTCACCAGACAGAGATCCATCTAACAATTGTCTATTTCTGTCTATCTATATCTATCTATCTAATCTCTCTCTCTCTCTCTCATCTATCTATATCTATCTATCTATCTCTCATCTATCTATCTATCTATCTATCTATCTATCTATCTATCTATCTATCTATCTATCTATCTATCTATCTATCTATCTATCTATCTAATCTGTCTAATCAGTCATCTGTCTATCTATCTATCCAGCTATAGGGCATGTATGCTCACCAGAAAGAGATGAAAAGAGAGAAAGGGAGAGAAAAGTGAGAAATCATCTCTCCCGCTCCAGGGGTAATGGCCACACCACAATCTCTTCTCCTCCATTCTCCTCTAAGAATTTTGGGCAAGCACACACACGTACCTAGTGTGATTTTCAAGCTGCTGGGTCTGGGAATCTAACTATGTAGTCAGCCATGTGAGATCCAGTGCTTTAACCTCCATACCACATGCTTGGTCAATGATATTTTATGATTCTTTGTACTTTATGTTAATATTACCTGGTACCATAGAAGTTTTGTCATGTGAGTAATAGGGACTTACCTCCAGACTATGCAGACTATGAGATGTGTCTTGGATACTCTCTGAGACTTGATAGCAATTGTTTAAGCAATTAAAAATGTCCAAGAACACAATGAACTGTCTCAAGAAGCAATGAGTTCTCTGTCACTAGAGGTATTCAAGCAAAAGAGGATGGCCACTTGGGGGAGATGTTGTAGAATGTATCATGTACTAGAAAAGAAGTATTCTAAATATTTCCAGGTCCCTTCCAATTGTATTTCTTATATGACTACATATATGAATTTCATGAAGTGCCTTATATTTTATAGAGCAGTGTTTCTCAAACTGCAAACCATACCTTATTAGATGGTTGTGAAATTGATACAGAGATTTACTGACAAACATTTAAGAAAAAGGAAAGAGAAACAGAAATGAAGAGAAGATAATCAAATAGAATAAAGCAGTGCATTGCACTTAAGGATAAGTATTTGTTTTGGAACTCGTTTCAGTACATTTGTGTGTATGAGTATAGACTAGATTGCAATAGCAAATGTATTTTGTTTATGGATCAAGGTCAAAAGAGTTTGAAAGCTACTACCATAAAATATAACATGTATAATAAGCATGACTATATTTATGTGCTTGTCTAATTCATGTATTTTATTTCTACTTAATTATTGTATTCTTTTTAAAAAGTGGAGTGGGGCCTGGGAAAAACATTTGGAGGAGGGATACGGAGACAGCATTGTTGAGACAGGGAGGTAGTATTGTTAATATTTTGGTAAACTGGACCGGGGAGAAATGTTCACATATTGAAATGATCACCTTGTAAGCTAAATAATGTGATTGAATGAATAAAAAAAAAAGAAGAAAAAGAAAAAAAAAGAAAAAGAAGTGATAAAAAATTTTGGCTGCTATGGTCTCTTTAGTTAACAGCTTACACCTTTGCCTTAAAAAGAAATCATACATACTATGATTTTCCAGAATGTGAGAACTGCTTAAGCATCATTAACATGTCAGAAAGGAAAAGTTCTGCCTGCTCTCTTTACCCAGGACACCCTGCGTCAGGAAGGGGGGGAGAAGGCAAGTGGCTCTGGGCAGAGAAGGGGAACACTCTTGTCTTGTGTGTGGCTGGTCCCAGGACATGATATTGGGTCATCAGAAAAGTCATAAAAACATATTTTTCTATGTTTTTCTATGCAAGAATACATCATGGTATTCATTATCCTCTTATGGTAAACAGAGCAGAGCTGGGAAGCAGGAATCACAGCCCTAAACATTCAGAAGTCATGGTTAATAGCTGGGAGGGGTCATTAGGGGAGAATCAAGGCAGAATGGTAGGACTCCAGAGACCTAACTCAACCTGGTCAGTCTCTAACTGTCTTGGACATCAGATAGGCAGGATATTGCTGCATTGCAAAACGTGGATCCCTAATTGGTCCAAGGATGGGAGTTTGGGAATCAAAGCAACCCCAAAGTCTAGCCTGAGGCACACCAGACTTGAATATAACATCTATTTTTCTGAATTAATTTCTATTAATTTCCATGGGGATTTTCACACGAACTGTTAGGTTTATTTCCTATGTTTAACTGATTTGCCATGTTTATCAGCAGGCCTGCCCAATAATACAGTGCTTTGGTCTCTCAGGGTCTTTGGAGCCGCCATCTTCTTAACATCGACCCTGAACATGTGCATTCCTTCTGCGGCCAGAGTGCACTACGGATGTGTCATGTGTGTCAGAATTTTGCAAGGTCTAGTGGAGGTAGGAGATACTTTCCTTAGTTTTCTATATTGCTAGAGATAGCATGGCCCTTAATCCAGCTTCTGAAGACAAACCACTTTGCTAGAGCTATCTCAGCTTCTGGATATGGCTAAAATGATGAGTATTTTAGATAAATGCCTTGTGTGATTTCACATGTACATACAATAAGGGACCATCCCATCATGATCTTACAGATAAACTAACCAAACTCCATTCATTTGCTTTCTTAAGAGATTTTTGCTGTAGGGTGTGTGTACTCAATGGAGAGAGAGAGAGAGAGACAGAGACAGAGACAGAGAGAGAGGAAAGTGAGAAATGACCCCCTGGGGGAATGGCCATGACACAATCCCTTCTTCTCCATTCTTCTCCTGAGATCTTGGACATGCATGCACAGGGCATGATTTAAAGCCACCAGGGACTCTACTGATCAGCCATGTAGGAGTCCAGCAACATAACCACTATGTCATCTCCTGGACCCCTCAACATCATTCATTTTAATAGATGATGAAGCTGAAGACCTAAACCTACAGTCTATATAGCAAAGTGTCTTTCTACTAATACAATGTAAATGGACTTATTAATAAATCTGTAAGTTTTCAAAGGTGCAGTCTGTTGCAGGATTAAGCTCAAGGAAGGAGCCACATGATATGGAGCTAGAAGGCAAATACTTTGGGCTTTGTAAGCTACATGGTTTCTAACAACTACTTAACTCTGCTGGTGTAATGAGAAGCAGCCATGGACAATATGGAAATGAATGGGCATAGCTGTGTTCCAGTAAAACTTTTGGGGCATTGAAGTTGAATTAGACTTTTATGTGCCACAAAATATTATTTTCTTTGGATTTTTTTTCTCTCCACTTAAAAATATAGAAATTGGCCCAGTCATGGTGACACAGGTACCACTTTACCATACTGGAGCCATAAGCAAAGGGTCTGGATTCAGTTTCCAGATTGACTTGAATATATAGGCATACCTGTGGGGTAGCCATGCTCCTGGCTGGGCTTCCGATCCTGTTGATCTTCCAAGTCTTTTTCAATGTACTTTTTAAAATCTAGTCTAACTTATCTTGTAAATCAAGTGATTCTGTGGTAAAATGAGTAATTTACCCTGTTGAGAGTCCTTGTCTCTCTCACTTTCTCTCTAATGAAATAAATCAACTTAAACAGATGGGAAAATTGTTCTTAGCTTACAAACTGCAAAGACAGATGGTAGGCCCAACTGGCCATAGTTTGCCAAACCCTGACAGAGAGCAACGTTTCCCAAACTCAGTCACTCACCTCTAACCTTTGTCAATATCTTATACCCGTGTGCATCGGTACTATTACTTGCCTACTGTTTTTTCCTAGATCAACTCACTTAAAACAAACAAAAGGCAAAACAAATTGAAATAAATCCTTATTCTAAGGAGAAATGTTTTTGAAATCATGGATTTGATGTGCTAATAGTCTAAAGGATATTAGATATATGTGTAACAACTACAGGAATTAAGAATGTAGGTTGTTTCAATATCTCAAATCCAACTTTAGCTTGAATAGAGGGACACTTCAGGAATATCGGATGTGGGGGAACGAAAAAAAACGGATGTGGGGGAGAGAGTGTGGTATTAGCAGCCTTGAAAACTAAGGTCTATCACTTAATAGCTCTGAGCCTCAGATTAAATACTTTGAAATGAGGGACCAGCAGTTAGCATAATGGCTATGTTGCTGGACTCCCACGTAGTCGACTGCGGTTTGAGTCCCGGACCCGGTGGCTTAAATTCACTCTGGGTGCATGTGCGTGTGTGCCCAAGATCCCGAGAGGAGAATGGAGGAGAAGGGATTGCGGCATGGCCATCCCCCCTGGGGGGTGGATTTCTTGATTTCTGTCTCTCTGTCTCTCTCTGTCTGTCTGGCGAGCGCACGCGCCCTATAGCAAAAACCTCTCAAAAAAAAAAAAAGAAAAAAAAAAAAAGAAAAAAATACTTTGAAATGAGAGGATGAACCAACTGATTGTACAAGTCCCTCCCTACACTGATATTCCATAGTAAGATAAAATACGGCTAATATAAAGACACCCTCCTCTGTTCTTCACCGTACTTACCTTTGAACTGTATTTGAATTTCAGTATCTGTGCTGAGTCTAAAAAGCTGAATCAGGCTATAATTTCATGTCTATCTTAATCTGTTTGGGCTTCTGTTACACAATACCATGAAGTAGGTGGTTTATAAATAACATACATTTATTTCTTGTGATTTTGGAGGGTGAGACTTCTAAAATCATAGCACCAGTAGATTTGGTGTTTGGTGAGGGCTATTTCTTGGTTCATGGACAGCCATCTTCTGTATGTCTTCACACGGTGGAAAGGGCGAAGAGTGCTCTCTCAATCTCTTTTATAAAGGCATTAATCCTATTCATGAGGGCTCCACCCCATAACCTATTCACCTCCCAAAAGCCCATCTCCTAATATCATCACATTGAGGATTAGGTTTCAATATATAAATTTGGTGGAAGACACAAACTTTCAATGGATAGCAATGACTAAATTGGGCTTTTATGTTGTAGCCTGTGTGAAGAAGCAGCCTCCATGCTTCAAACACAAACAGAAACTAGAGTTAAGTCAAATAATCTCTTTTCAATCCTTCTGCCAGGGTGTGACCTACCCAGCCTGCCATGGGATGTGGAGTAAGTGGGCCCCACCTCTGGAGAGAAGCCGATTGGCCACCACTTCTTTTTGCGGTAAGTGTGTTAGAATCATAGTAAGTTTCATCTAGAATGCTTTTTAGCTTAAGGCTTTAAAATGAGTCTATGTTTTTACATAACAGAATTCCAAAGGCAAGTGGCTACTGGGGTTGGTTTTCTGGCTCAGTGATCCATCCAGAGTCCGGGCATGTTCTGACTTCCTGCTCTGCTTTCCTCAGAGTAATAGCTTGTTCCATCTGTCCTTTCCATCAGGATAGCAAAGGCTTTCCCAAGTCCCCTAGCAGGCTTCCACTTAGGTTTCCTTGACCTTAATTGCGTCATATGTTTTCCTAACTCTAGATGAAGCTGGAACTACTAGCTTTTCCAGCCTCTTCAGCAGAGAAGGAAAAGAGAGAGAGTTGGAAGTGGCTGTTGAATTTGCTAACAAATGACACTTGCCAAGGGCCAAGAGAAGAGAAGGGATCATTGAGATCCCTAACTCTCTGCTTTTTACATTGAGTCTAAAGTTCACTGCCCTGTCCAAGATCACACAGTTACTAAGCCATGGAGCTGGAATGAGTGATTTCTGATCTGGAATTTTCTTACTGTATGCTACTACTATGTATGTATCATCATGGAGATATTTAAATTAACTCTTGACATTATGCTGCAGCTAAAGATGAAGCAGAGGCCTTTCCGCCCTGAGTCTATCCACTTCACCTGTGCAGTTCAAGTCCTGGAACTGGTGGTTTGAGAAAATACACTGCCCCAAGTAGTGATGTGACTTGAATTCCGGAGTTTCAAACTTTACCTTGCTAAGGCTGCCCCATTCCAAGCCATCCACTGGGATGGCCCCTCTATGTATTGCTGGGAGTAATTAGTGTTCTGAATCAGCAATAGAATATTATAGCACTGGGACAGCCAGTGGCCTGGTGGTTATGTTAGCTGGATTCCACATGGCTAACTGCATGGTTCAAGTCCCAGACTCAGCAACTTGAAAAACATGCCAGGTGTGTGTGTGTGAATGTGTGCACAAAATCCTAAAAGGAGGGAGAAATGGAGGAGAAGGGATTGCAATGTGGCTGTATTCTGTGGAGGGTGCTTTTTTTACTTTCCTTCTCTCTCTGTCTATCTCTCTTTCTCTCTACTGAATACCTGCACCCTTTGGCAAAGTATTAAAAAAAAAGAAAAAAGGGACCAGCAGTTAGCATAATGGCTATGTCGCTGAACTCCCATGTAGCCAACTGCAGTTCTAGTCCTGGACCTGGTGGCTTAAGCTCACACCGGGAGCATGTGCATGCATGCCCAAGATCCTGAGAGGAGAATGGAGGAGAAGGGATTGTGGCACGACCACCTCCCTTGGGGAGCGATTTCTTGCTTTCTGTCTATCTGTCTCTGTCTGTCTTTCTGGCGAGTGCACACGCCCTATAGCAAAAACCTCTCCAAAAAGAAAAAAGTAAAAAGAAAAGAAAATTATAGCACATGCTGAGGCCATCGACACAGTTGCTTTAAAAGAAAATTATAGCACATGCTGAGGCCATCAACACAGTTGCTTTTACATATACATATATACACACACACACACATACACACAGATATGTATATAATTGTATATATACAGATATATACAGTTTTTTTTCTTCCATGAGTGAGTAAGAGAAGGAGAGAGGGAGAGAAAGAGACAGTACCCCCAATGTGGTCTTGACACTGTGAGTCACCCCAGCCTTTAGCTAGCCCCAGATTATGGACAAGTGTGTACCCAGCATACTCAGGGGGTCTGTGGATGCAAGCCAGGAATGTTTTTATGTGGGATGGCCTCACAGAGAATCAGCGGGATGTCACTGTCTGGTTCCTTAATATATTTTAAAATATCTTTTTATGGGAAGAGGGGCCCATGAAGGTAGAAGTGCCTTAGACCACAAAATTCACAAAGTAACGTAGGCAGTTAGGATTTGAATTTAGGCTGTCTGATTTTTTAAGCCAGCATGGTTTGCCTACAACCAGTTAACCTGTGCTTCTTTGCTAAGGGGAGAAATAAAACTTCCTCTATTTCTTTTTTTTCTTTTTAGAGATATTTTTGTTTTAGGGCATATGTGCTTGCTGGAGAGAGACAGAGAGAGAGAAAGCGAGGAATCATCCACCAAGGGGAGATGACCACACTGCAATCTCTTCTCCATTCTCCTCTTGGGATTTTGAGCATGCACGAACTTCCACTTGGCATGAGTTTCAAGCTGCCAGGTTCAGGACTTGAGCTGCAGTTGACTACATGGGAGTCCAGCAACGTAATCATTATGCCATCTGTTGGTCTCAAGCTTCCTCTATTTCTGTGAGTGTTTTTAATTATATTTCTTTTTTAAAAAAGTTATTTAGTTTTTTATTAAATATTATTATTTTAAAATTTGCAACAGGGCACATTTGCTCATCAGAGAGAGACAGAGAGAGAGAGAGAGAGAAAAAAAAGAGAAAGTGAGAAAGCAAGCCTCCAGGTCCAGGATGCAAACTGCAGTCAGCCATGTAGGAGTCTCGCACCTTAACCACCATGCCACTCCTAATTATGTCTTTTTTATTCTCCCTTTATTCCCCTTAAATAATAATAAAATAGTTATAGAATTTGGTATAAAAGATTCACCAAAGGGGTAAGAAGATTGCATGGAGGTTAAGGCAGCTGGATCCTGCATGGCCGACTGCTGTTTAAGTCCCAGACCCAGCAGCTTGAGAAAACAAACTAGGTGCATGTGTGTACATACCCAAATCCTAAGAGGGTAATGGAGAAAGTATTGCTGTGTGGCCGTACCCCACCCCCGGGGGGTAGGGCTGCTTTCTACTCTGTCTGTCTCTCACCAGCACATATGCTTTATAGCAAAAATAAAATAAGATAAAATAAATTCACTGATGTGCCTGTTTTGTGCCTAGTTGGGAACTGCATGCACAGCCGACGTGTCTTTACATCTTTAGGCTCTTGGGTCCTCAGAAACCATTTCTGTCCTCCCATCTGCAGTTCAAGAACACCTCTACCCACTGCTGAACTTACACCAACTCTAGAGAATCATGACTCTGCCCAGATGGCCTTGCGGATTGTTAGATCCTTGACCTTACTTTCTTCAAATGGTTTATTTATGAGGCCTTTTTCTTTCTTTCTTTCTTAAGGCTTTTGCCATTGGGTGCATGCGCTTGCCAGAAGGAGACAAAGAGAGACACTGAGAGAGAAAGTAATAAATCACTCTCCTGGGAGAGATGGCCATACCACAGTCCCTTTTTCTCTATTCTCCTCTTGGGATTTTGGGCATGCACACATGCAAGCCAAGCATAATTTTCAAGCCTTGAGGTCCAGGACTCAAACTACGATAGGCCCTATAGAAGTCCAATGCCCCAACTACTACGCCACCTGCTGGCTTCAGGGCCTTGCCAAAAGTGCATTGTCATTCTGTACATGATAATACAGTAAGAGCTGCCATTTGTATAACTCTTTGTAGCGTAACAAAGTGTTTTCATGGATGTAGTTCATTTGACCCTCAAAACAATCCTGGCAGATGCATATTTCACTCCCATTTTGTCTGGGGAGAATGAGTCTCCCAACTTCCTCAGGCATCATGCTGTCCAGATTTTAAAATCCCAGGCTGTGCCCTCCATGGAGGGTCAAGTTAACTTGGAAAGATGTGACTTACCTATTGCCCTGAAAGATCCTCAAACTCCTATTTCCTAAAGATTTTCCTTAGCACTGGGTTCTCGGATTCTGATTTTCCTTTTGCAGTTTTTATTTTATTTTATTTTTCCGGAAGCAAAGATTTTCTTTTCTTTTTTTTTTTAATTCATTTATGGTCCTTGGGAAATGTCAGATAGTAACTTTTCAGTTCAGTTAATATTTATTGGAAGTTCCTAGTGCTCTGTTTCTCTACTTGATATCCTGGAGCTGCAGAAGATAGTGGAGGCCAGGTCACTACCTCTAGCCCTCACTATCTTGTCTAGACAAGATAAACATCTATATATAGGTAAATATTTACAAGGTAAGAAATAGACTTAAAAATTTACCCATTGTGGAGGTGAATGGAAATAGTCTCCCCTGCCATTGTCGGAATTTAAATATTTTCTTTTTCTCTTCTTTTTTTAAAAAATCAAGACTGTAAGTAGCTTTATGAAAGAATATATCTTTTTCTACTGCGACATCCTGTCTGTGAATATTAGTAGGTGAAAACTTCTTACTTCTCATACATGGACACTTGCTGTAAGAGATTAGTTATTATGTTTTCATGGAGACATCTGAGCTTTCTAAAAGGCTTTAATCATATTAGGTGTAAACCCTAATTAAACATACAAATAAACTCTTCCTTGTAATTGATTTGCTAAATCAAGATTAAAAATCACTGAAATGTGCCAAAAATAAAAGGACTGTTAATAGCACAATACCTTTAATAGTTTGTTGTCCCTCATTTAAAGACCTAGTTGAGAATCTTCTTAACTGTGACCTCTGCAAGGAAGATTCTATATGTTCCTTTGTTTGCTATCTTCAGTATCCAATATTGTGCCTGGCTGAATTTCTGAAATTTCTTTAGATTTTTCTTATCTTCCGATTCCATTCTCTCATGTAACTCCAAATTATGATGCCTGAGTTATCTCTGTTTAATCCTTGAATGATTTCTGGATGACATTAAAGGGGATCTTCCTTTCCCGGAAACTCTGATTTAAGACATAATGTGAGCTTGCCTGTGTCTCTGAATGGAGGTGGTCTTCCTGCTCTGTTTCATTCATCCTCAACTTCACTCCATGAGCTCTAAAGGGGGTGAAAAGGCTTGCGTGTCGATTAGTAAGTGTCCCTTCATCTTTTCTCATTCCAGGTTCCTATGCAGGCGCAGTAGTTGCCATGCCTCTGGCTGGGGTGTTGGTGCAGTACATTGGATGGTCCTCTGTCTTTTATATTTATGGTGAGTGATTTGACTGCTTGAGTTCACTTGGTACCTCATAAATCTGAAGCTTTACTGTTCTAATGTTTGGCTAAGAATTTATCACACAAAAATAGAGATTACTAAGACAAGTTTATCAATGGAGTATGTACCTTACTGTGATTCATTTAGTGTTTATATCAACATCTTTTTTTTAATAAAAAGGTTATTTATGTCTTCTGAGTTAGAGGCACCCCATCAGGGTCCTCACACCAGGGTCCCTTTCCAGTATTAGCTAGATTTCCAGCATATTCATGTGTACCCAGCATGTTCAGGGAGGTCCCAGGATGCAAACTCAGGACCTTTCCAATGTGAGCCCAGCTGTGCCACTGCTATGCCACACCTGATCTCTGACTTTTTTTTTTTTTTAACAATCAGAACATCATTTTTCTTTAGTACCAGCTAACAACAATAGGAAGACCAACAGGATACTTTCTTCTAGCTAGATATATTGCGGATATTGTAAAAATCAAAAAAATTAGAGATGGCAGAAAAGGAGACCACATCATCAAACTTTTCTTTCTTTTTTTTTCTCTTTAACTGCAGGTATGTTTGGGATTATTTGGTACATGTTTTGGCTGTTGCAGGCCTATGAGTGCCCAGCCGCTCATCCAACAATATCCAATGAGGAGAGGACGTATATAGAAACAAGTATAGGAGAAGGAGCCAACTTGGTTAGTCTAAGTGTAAGTGCAAGGAGACAGATGAAGATCTGCCTCTTTTCTGAGCATTTCTCTTGGTGATCGTGTTGTCCTCTTTAAGAAGAGAAGAGTCAATAGCTTCTAAACTTCTCATGGTATTTTTATACCCTAGAAATTCAATACACCATGGAAAAGATTTTTCACTTCGTTGCCGGTTTACGCAATCATTGTGGCAAATTTTTGCAGAAGCTGGACCTTTTATTTGCTCTTAATAAGTCAGCCTGCTTATTTTGAAGAGGTCTTTGGATTTGCAATAAGTAAGGTAAACATATAGATGCTGCAAGTAATCCTGAGTTTGAAATCTCTTGATTTTACTGAGAATATCTTTGTATGATAAAATAATTAAGTTGCTGATCATAATTCATAATGACTCCATGACACCTGATAGCTTGGAAGTCACACACATTATAAATTCCATGTGTTGTAAATATAGCTATTCAGTTCCTTCTTAGTAAGGATCAGAGCTATAGTAAGGTTAAGGATTTATGTTCTACTAGATCTCAAAGTGTTTTTGAAGCTAAGTTAAGGACTGCATATTTGGCAAGGATAGAAAGATTTGCGGATGTGGAATTCTCTTCTTTTGTCTCCATAAACTGCTCAATAAGTGGCAGTAAGAGCCTTAAAGCTCATTTTGCAGGCTACTCCTCTCTCCATAATAATGGTTGTAGCAGTATTTACAACCATTGCTTGTGATGGTTTGGAGGAGCCTCATTTAATGCCCTCAATCATTGTCATTGGGTTGTCTGTATTTCAGGGAGGAAGGGCTTGAGTGGTGAAACATAAACCATCATCATAAAAGAATTAAACCTCCTTTCTACAAGGGACAGAGCAGCAGCCTAGGCCGGTGTCTGCATAGCTACAGGGACTGTCAGAAGTGGGCACGGAAGAGCTAACATAGTCACCTAGTGGTGGCTGCCATCTGTGAGCACTCTTCATGCCAAGCTTTTTACCTCCCATATTCCAGGATCTGTGCTGGCTGCTGGGGCCTCTGTCATGGACAAAACCATTTCTGGCCTAAAGGAGCTTTAAATCTGGTGGAAGAGGCAGATAAGTCTAAGAATTCAATTTTTAAATTTATTTAATTTTATCTATTATTATTTTAAAAAATTTGCTATAAGGCATGTTTGCTCATCAGAGAAAGATGCAGGGGAGAGAGAGAGAGGAAGGGAAAGTGAAAAAGCAAGCCACCAGGTCCAGGGCTTGAACTGTAGTCAACCATGTTAGAGTCCAGTCTCTTAACCACCATGCCACCTGCTGGCCCCAGATAGGTCTGAATTTAAAATCATCCACTCATTCATTGTTTATTATAAAATGCAGGCCTACCTATGTTCCATTACTTAGATGATTAAATTTTGTGGTGGTGGTGGTGGTGGGGCTATGGAATCAGGGTGGGCAGGGAATTAGGGAAATAGCTCATAGTTTCTTTTCCTTCTAGGTGGGTCTCTTGTCAGCAGTCCCACACATGGTTATGACAATCATTGTGCCTATTGGAGGACAACTGGCTGATTATTTAAGAAGCAGAAAAATACTGACTACAACTACTGTCAGAAAAATCATGAACTGTGGAGGTACTGTGGGTTGCAGAGGTAGCTTAAGCAGATTTGTAGAATTTGTTTTAGAGGAGATGTCTCAGTATTGGAATAGATCTTAAAGACTCCCAGGTCCATCCCCTAGCAGACACTTGAGTGTCATCCACCTCACCCCTGCCATGTGGTCATCCAGCCTGTATTTGTGCAGTCTGGCCTATGATAACTAACTGGTGGCCAAAAAAGCAAGACACAACTGCAGAAATGCTTCTTCATCTACCCTCAAGCCAAAATGTGACTTTCAGTTACACAACTGTTTGTTGCTTATCTTTTCCACACATCCTTCCACATTTATTGCTTTTTTTTTTTTTTTTTTTTTTTTTTTATTTTTTTTTCTTTTTCTTTTTTTTTTTTTTAGAGAGATTTTTGTTATAGGGTGCATGTGCTCATTGAGAGAGAGAGACAGAGAGACAGAGAGACAGACAAATAATGGGAATTCACCTCCCAGAGAGGATGGACATGCTGCAAC